AGTTAGAAGAGACAGTTTCCTTCCTCTTTTCTCATCTTGGCCCCACAGCCCCCCAGGACAAAATCTTCAGTGTCTTGTGTGCTACAGGTCTCACTGCTGCTGTCAGCTTGGAGATAACATGTGGCTCTTAATAGCTCTGCTCCTTTGGGGTAAGTTGGGCTTCGAGGTGGGTAGCTAGAGGGGTACAGGCTCTGGCTAAGGGAACTCAGGACTTTTTGTCTTGTTTTGGTGTCCTAGACTAGAACTCATGAGTATGGAGACAGTTGTATCTGTGCTCCCATGGCTTATTGGTGCTTATTATATCAAAAGAATGGGAAGGGAGACTCCAAGGTAACAGTAAGCCTGGAAGCAGCATGTCACAATATAGCCTCATCAACAACCATCTGTAAGCTGTTCTGTACCAGTGGTACCTGATTTTGGAAAAGGAGTAGAGAGAAACTCAAGAGGCCTAAGCTGGCTCCTCCAAGTCCACGTTAATTGTCTCCCCAGCTCTCCCGTCCTTGTCATCTCCCACTGACCAACTGATGCCTCTGTTCTTTGGTCTCTTACAGTTCCAGTTGGTGGGCAAGTGGGTAAGTCATCTCTAACTCAACTTCTCTTTCTCTGCCACATTCCTGCTTCTGAAGAATGGGTCCCCTTATCCTGAAGAAGTTAGTAAAGAGAGAGGATACAAAGGAGAAAGATGTATAAATTATGTAAAATTCTCTATATTCAGAGTATGATTTTTATCAAATCCTGGTTTTTAAGGTTTCTCTCTAAGATTTTCTGAATGAGCTCTGACCTCCTGGTTAAATGCCTAAATAAATGTATGTGTAATAACAAAGTGCCCAAAATTGCAAAACCATGGAAGTAGCTCTGCTGGGTTTTCCAACATCCCCCACACCAGTCTCCCTTAGAAGAAAACTGAGTATATTTTTTTCCTTCCCAGAGAGAACCAAGCAGTACTGAAGGCTTCAGAGTATGGAGTTTGATGCTAATAAGGCCTGAGATTAACCCTTAGAGACAGTATACTACAGAGGATAAGAGAATCTGCTCTAGTCAGTTTGCCCTCGTTTAAAACCCTGCTTCCTGCTTACCAACAAGGAGACCTAAACTAGTCATTTATTTCTGAGGACCCCAAAATCTCCAACAGCTAGAAGCAGATTTAATAACAGGAACAGGACTCTGCAGCAGGGCCTGGGCACTCTTCATGGCTAGCTTTTGTACTTTTCCACTTGCCTATTTTCAGTCTAATCTAAACACTATACCTTTTCCCCTTGTGCTAGCCACAAACCTTGCCAATTGCTCAGATTTTTCTTTTACTCCACTTGGTCTTTGCTTTTTAATCCCAAAGCAGATCCCACAAAGGCAGTGATCACACTGCAACCTCCATGGGTCAGTATGTTCGAAGAAGAGGATGTAACCTTATGGTGTGAGGGACCCCGTCTGTCTGGGGACAGCTCTACACAGTGGTTTCTCAACGGCACAGCCATTGAGACCTTGGCCTCTAGATACAGAATTGCTGCTGCCAGTGTCAATGACAGTGGTGAATACAGGTGCCAGACAGGTCTGTCAGTGCCAAGTGACCCTGTACAGCTGGAAATCCACAAAGGTAAGTGTAGCATGGAAAAGGAGGACTGGAAATCACAAGGTCTTCCTTTGTGTTTCCTCCTTTCTAGATGCCTGATATGTGTGTGTGTGTGTGTGTGTGTTTCCATTTACCTGAGTATTAGTCTCAGTTCTATGTGTCTACCAGGTACAATAAAGATACTTAAAACATCACATTAAGGTCTTACGTTGTGCCCCCAAAACACCCCAACTAGGGCAGCTGTGAATAGGGTATCTAGATTCAAACTTAGACCCTAAAATTTTATTATTCAAAATCATCTAGTTTTGGTGAAAAAAAGTAATGCCTGCCCATAGTAAATAATAATAATTCAGAGAAGTGAACAATGAAGTCTCTCTCCTACCCCAAACCCCAAGTCCTGTAGTCACCTTCCACAGAAACAAAACCATTAATGTATAAAAACTTTTTTAAGTGTTTGGTTGAATACTCTATATACTGCCTTAACACCGTACTTTTATTACTTAAAATACTTTGGAGGTCTGTTTATATCAATAGAGACCAACCCCTAACTTTCTTACGTCTGCTGCGCTATGCAGCTGTGCTGTAACTGGTTTAGCCATTCTATTAGTAAACTTCTAGTGTGTTTCCATTCTTTTGCTTTTACAATCAATGCTGTAGTAAACATCTTTATACACATAGTCTAGGGGGACATTTCATAGTATATCTGCAATATAATATTCTAGACATGGAAATACTGTGAGACTTTTAAGTATTTTAAACTTTGATGAATAGAAGCAAAGGAAAACATCACTCCCCACTTAAATGTGTAAGAAGTTTCTGTTTATCAAGAGATGAAGACTGCAGGACTCCTTAGGGCAAAATGTCTCATTATTCAGGACAAATAATTGAATTCAGTAGTTTAGTTATTCAAAAGCAATAGGTTAAAACTTCTTTGTAATTGATTAATCAAAAGTTAATCCATCCCGGAGGCAGAAGCAGATTTATGTGGACTAGGTTGCTGTTAGGGAAAATGTGTTTTAATCAAGGATATGTTGAGAGTGTTGGAGGAAGAAATGCTGGGTGCTCCTCATATGTCTCTCAAGCCTCTGAGAATCAGTTCCTAGGCCCGAGAGGCGAGGGGGGCAGACACCTGTTTCAAGAGACCATGTAGCTCAAGGAGCAGCAGAAGTGTTTGGTGGTCCCGGCAACAAAGCGTGAGCCCGGCCTGCGAGGGGCCGCCTGCCTCACCGCTGCGCAGACGCTGGCGCCCCGAGCACCGGTGGCCTACTGAGAGTAGTGTCTTACTTTTTTTTACATTATATTATATTTTACATGATGCACCTTTTCAAATTATATTTTAATGTGAACTTCTACGGGAGTGTAACATACAAGAAAACTGCGTACGGCCCAGTGAATTTTCACTAAGTAAACAGCACCCGTGTCAAGAAGCAGAACGTTCCCAGAATCACAGAAACTCCCCTTGCTCACCTCTCGTCCCCGCCCCCAGCACCGACTGCTAACACCACGGGTTTTCACCTGGTTTTTAACTTCATATAAACGGACACAATACGACATGGCATGTGCTCTGTGTCCCGCTGCTTTTTCTCATGTTGACTGTGAGACTTGCACATGTTGTCAAGTTGCAGTTCCCTGGTTCTCATTACTGTATAGTATTCCATGTTTGCTCACTCTGTTGATGGAATCTGGGGTTGTTTCCAGTGTGGGCCTCTGACAAATATACTTCTGTGGCCATTTTTGTACATGCCTTTCGGTGCACATGTGACTTGGAATATATATAGGCGTGGAATTACTGGGTCACAAAATATGCATATATTCAGCTTTAGTTTTCCAAAGCGGTTATACCGCATTACACTCCCTCCAGCAGAGTGTGATAGTCCTGGAAGCTCCTTGTCCTTATTAACACTAGGTGTTTTCTGTATTTTTCATTTTAGTCATTCTGGTGCACATGCAGTAGCATCACATTGTGGTTTGAATTTGCATTTCCCTGATGACCAGTGATACTGAGCACTTTTCATATGTTTATTACCTATTTGAACATCCTCTTTTGTAAAGTACCTGTCTAGGTGTTTTGCCAATTTTTAAAATTGTTGTCCACCTTTTCCTTATGGACTTGTAGGAGCTCTTGATATGTTCTGGATATAAGGCCTTTTTTAAGTGTTGTAATTATCTTCCACTCTGGACTTGTCTTTTTGCTATCTCATTGTTGTTTTCTTTTTTTCAATGAACAAAAGTTCTTAATTTTACTACAGTGCAATACATGAAGGTTTTTGGTTTGTGCTTTCTGTGTCCCATTTTAAAAAGTTTTGGCCCAGTTGGTCAGCAGTGGAGGATCTAACTACAGTTACACTAGCTCTCAGTCACTTCAGTTAAATCTGTGTGTGCTGAAACCAGGAAAAGACAACTGGTTCATGGATCCGAGTCCTAATCATGTGACTTACAATGAGTCCCCATCCTACTTCAAAGTGAAGATGAGAATAGGTTTTAAGTATGAAATTAATGATGTCTGCTAAAAGCTGCAGCCCGCAAGTTTTGAAATGTAATAACCCCATTATTATTTAAGACTAAATATTTTTAATTTCCATTATAATTGGTTTCTTTCTTTTACTCTTGAATATTTAGAAGTGTTTTTAGAGGGTGGCTTTTTGTTACTTCTAATTTTGTGGCATTTTGATCAGAATTTGTGTTAAATACATCGGTTCCTTGATATTTGTTGAAAATTGCTTTGTGGCCTAGTTCATGCTCATTTTTTTTGTATATGCATTTGGAAAATTTTATTTTCCTAAGGTACAGCATTCTACAGAAATCCGTGAAATTAGGCCTATTAATACTGTCATTCAAATATTTTATATCATTACCAGTATTCTTGACAGTTTCTGATGGAAGTATTAAAATTTCCCACTATATTTGTGACTTTATAAAGCAAAAGGGTCTGTGTGTTGGGGCAGTGCAGTCTGCGAGCACCTTTTGGTTAGGAGCAGGAATAAATGAAGGAAGAGTATTCATTCTGTTTAGAAGAACTATGGCGGCACCAAGACTGTGAGAACCATGCTATATTCAACGCTGGATGCCTGCCTTCCACTCTTAGATGAGTTCTGGATGGGCAAAAAGCACTATATCTCTTCTCTTTGGTCCTTTAAGAACCTCACCTTCATTTAGTCAAAACAAAACAAAACAAAAAAATAAAGGAGACCTCTTGAGGGTATGTGCCGAGGTGTACATCAAAAGGGAGGGCCCATCTGACTTGTAGCTTGTTTTCACCAACTCTATCACTGATTGCACATATGTGAGTATTCCTGTCAATTTAGGTCCATTTATATTTCTGGATATGTTTGCCGTTATGTGTATTTGTCTTAGTATGTGTGATCCTATTAACAAATTATTCAGCAGTTAGAGTGTATTAGTTTTCTATTGCTGCGTAACAAATTACCACAAATTTAGCAGCTTAAAACAACATACATTTATTATCTTCCCATGGGTCAGAAGTCTTGGCTCAGCTTAGCTGGGTGCTGTGCTGAGGGTAGTCAGGGTGCTGACTGGGCTGTGCTGCTTCCTGCAGCTCTTCCAAGCCCCCATGGTCACTGGAAGAATTCAGCTCCTCATGGTTGTAGGACTGAGGTCCCGACTTTTTGCTGGCTGGAGGTCAGCCTCAGTCCCTGGAGACCCCTCCCATGTGGCCCTCACACAGGCCCTCTCGCAACATGTCAGCTCACTTCTTTAAGGGCAGCAGGAGTCTCTCTCAGTCCAGTCAGCTTAGTCTCATATAGTGTAACATCATTATGGGAGTGAAACCCATAACCTTCATCATATTCTGTTAGCTAGAAGCAAGTCATAGGTTCCAGCCATGCTCATGGGGATTATACAAGCATGTGGCTCATTGGAGGCGTCTTAGAATGCTGCCTATCACATGCAGGGAGCTGTTTTTGTCCCTACCAACTTCTGAGATCTGGAAAGGGAAGATAAGAAAGGGCCATGTACATGGTTGCTGGTAAAGATTACTTTTCTTCCCAGAAAAACTAAAGATATTTGAGGAATGGGAGAGAGGCCTCAAATTCAGCAGAGCTCTGAGGTTTGAATGTTGCAGAGAAAAAAGATTTTTAAAAGCCCCAACGGCCCAGCTTGGCCTCTTTATTCCTCTGCCATTGTATAAACACATTTTTGGGTCCACATTTTCCAGATTGGCTACTACTCCAGGTGTCTAGCAGAATCTTCACCGAGGGGGAACCTCTGGCCTTGAGGTGTCATGGATGGAAGAATAAGCTGGTGTACAACGTACTTTTCTACCAAGACGGCAAAGCCTTTAAGTTTTCTCCTCGAGATTCTGAATTCACCATTCTGAAAACCAACCTGAGTCACAGTGGCATCTATCACTGCTCAGGCATGGGAAGGCATCGCTTCGTATCAGCAGGAGTATCTATCACTGTAAAAGGTATCGTATCTGAATAGTCGTAGAGCTGTCATTTTAAGGACCAGAGGAAAACATCATGAATTACCAGTTCAATTTGCAGGTGAAGAAACTGAGCTCCAGAGAGGTAAACTGCCTTATTGAAGGCCACACAGTGACCAGTGGCTAGCTGGGATCAGAACTGAGGTCTTCTGGGTCCCCACCCACCCCATCCATTGCTTTTTCCCCATCAGCAATTCCAGGAGCTAATGTCAAGGCCAGGCCATAGTGAGGATCCATTTCATCACTTTTATTTTAGTTGCAGGGAATAGAGACTCACTCAAGATAAGGAGGAGAGTTATTAGAAAATGACTCAATGCGGGGTGGGGAAGGTATAGCTCAAGCAATAGAGCGCGTGCTTAGCATGCACAAGGTCCTGGGTTCAATCCCCAGTACCTCCTCTAAAAATAGACAAAACCTAATTACCTGCCCCCCATGGCCAAAAAAAAAAAAACACCCCAAAAAACAGAAACAGAAACAAAAGACAAGAAAATGACTCAGTGGAATCTCATAAAAGCTCCCCAGCCAGGAAGACAGCAGGATGTGGTTATACTTTCCGTCTGGCTCTCAGGGGCCACGTGGCCTCTGGTCCTACTTCTCTCTGAACCTCTGCTAACTAAGCAGCTTCTTCTGTTCAGTTTGTGTGTAGCTGTTGTGATTCTTTCATGGCCTTTTATCTTAGTGCTCATAACCGTTAGCAACTTTTTTCTGTCTGAAAAATAGTTCATTCCTATGGGAAAGAAATTATTGTCCCAGATTATCTTTTGAGGCAGAAACACAAGTGATGAGTCACTGAACTGGCTAGTGTGTAAGTCAGTGTCCACTCCTGGTCAACCATTACAAAAGGGCAAGTTCGTTTAGTAAATAGCATGGCTGTTCAGGGAAGCACGGGCTGTGTACAGGTGCTCTCCCCAGTAGGTGTGGGCAAGCTGGCAACCGTAAGTATGTTTATGAAAAAACCCCAAGAACGGCTCTGCTGGAAGTGGGGAAAATTATGTTGTACAGATGCATTCTCTAGGGGCAGATTCCCCAAAGGAGGTGGGGGTATATCTCGTGTTTAAATACAAAGAAACCTTGACACTGAAGCAGGCAACCCTATCCGCACCCACTTTTCCTTCAGAGCTATTTACAGAGCCAGTGCTGAGAGCGTCCTTGCCACTCCCCCTCCTCGAGGGGAATATGGTCAACCTGAGCTGTGAAACAGAGTTGCTCCTGCGGAGGCCTGGTCTGCGGCTTTACTTCTCCTTCCACGTGGGCAGCAGGACCCTGAGGAGCAGGAACACATCCTCTGAATACCAGATACTTACTGCTGAAAGAGGAGATTCCGGGTTGCACTGGTGTGAGGCTGCCACAGAAGATGGCAGTGTCGTCAAGCGCAGCCCTGAGTTGAAGCTTCAGGTGGTCGGTGAGTGAGGAACATGGGAACTGCCCGGCACACGAGTGGGTGCTCCCTTTTCTCCTGTGGGGCTGAGGTCTGTCCAGGGGGGTTCATGGCCCAGCCGGGGAAACGCCTGAACAGGCCTCTCCACTCTTGACTGGAAACTTCACACTCTCCTCGTAAACTTCCTTAACTTGCCTTCCCTTTCTTTTTCTTTCCTTCTTCCACTTATTTCCTTCCCTTTGTCCCTCCTTCCTTCTTTCCTTTTCTTCATTTTCTCCCCTCCCCCCCCCACCAATAACTTAACAACATACTGAGTTCTCCTCTCTACTGTTACAGAAATGGGGTATAAAGACACCGGGGGCGGCTTTTACTTCAAGGGGCTCAACGTGGTAGGCTGGCGAGATAGGGGTTGGGGGACTGCACGTAAATACCTGCCCAAGTGTCTATACATGGCTGAGGTGGAGGGACCATGAGCTGCAGAACAAAGACTCTTGGGAGAAAGAAAGTTCATCTTCAACCTAAATTCATTCTAAGCATTAAATGGCATAGAAATAGCAGTTCTCTGTGAAACTAGAAAGCAAGTCCACTGGCAAGACCCTGGCAGTTAAGCTCTTATGAGGAGCCTGCCCCGTGCCCATCCACTGCAGGGCCCACTGGAGCTCCCTCCAGCCCCTGAAATCCCCGGTGCCTCCACTGGGTACAGACACAGCAGGTCTCAGCCAGCCTTCTCTTCCAAACATAACTCCGTCAGGTCCCTCTGATTTCTACACAGCGTTTCTTCTCTGCCATTTTCCTTTACAGGCCCCCAGTTGCCAGCTCCTGTCTGGTTTCATGTCCTTTTCTATCTGACAGTAGGAGTAATATTTTTGGTGGACACTGCCTTCTGTATGATGATACATAAGGAACTGCAAAGAAAGAAAAAGTGGAATTTAGAAATCTCTTTGGACTCTGGTCATGAGAAGAAGCTAACTTCCTACCTTCAAAAAGATAGTCATTTAGAAGAGCTGAAATGTCAGGACTGAGAAGAGCAGCAGCAAGAAAGGACGCACCAGGAGACCCTCCGGGAGGAGGGCGGCGGCTCAGCATCCACAGACGTGACAGCCGCACACCTTCCTCTCTGTGTTAGTGCCGGGCACTGACACCCAGAAGTTGAAAGATACTAGAACTGTGAATCCCATGACATCTGACTCTTAAATAAAGCAAGTAAATGAGGTGACTTCAGTGGAAGCAAACTTGGACATTTGGTAATCAGGGATGATTTGAAGTGAGACCTACTCTAAAGAAATCTTTAGAAACTTGGAAGTCGAGTCGAGCCTGATTATCCTATTAGGGTAGTCTGAGCAGTAATTTCTTTCTGGGGACAGGGTGAAAAGGTAAGTGCGTGCATAGGTAAGAGATTAATGCAGAGAGAGACAATGAGAGGACGGTGTGGACAGAGAGAGGTGGGGGGCCAGAATATGAGGAAGACGAGGGAATCATATAGACCAAGAAGAAGGAAACAGAATCTACAGGTGACTCTGAGCGACTGTGAGAACTAGAGCGCTCGCACCTCCCGGTGCTCAGGATGGTGACTTCAAAGCTCTTCCCTTTTCTGTCCATACATCTTACAGAGATGCAGCGAGTAGCTCATGATGAGAAATGGATGTGTTGTTTTTGCCTTTTCATTTGAAGTTTTCTCATAACCTCTCTGTGTCCAGAGACACTAGGAGTCCTGCGTGTCTGACCCGGTCCCCCTCCCTGTAGGAAGAGGGAGTGTAGCTGCTGCTTTGCTGAATAAAGTAAACCCGGCTCTCCAAGCACTGCACTGCATGGGGAGACTGCAAGTGGGGAGAGGCCATGCTGCCCCAAGGCCGCAGCTCCTGCTTCCAGAGGGCCACGTCACCCTTCTGACTTCCTAGATGATTCAGGATACACTACTCTCCCACTTGGGCTCCAGTTTGGAGACAAAATATTTTCCTGCTACTTCATAGCACAGCTGAGAAAAAAAATGAAATACGTGGATAAGACTTTGCTAAAGCTTGGGGGAAAAAACCCAGAAATGGTACAAACAAACCTAGCAACATAATGCTAAATTATCTGATTGAAAAAAAATGTAGCTTATCTGCCCAAGAAGGATGCATCCCCGCCTGGCCTTTGTCCTGGTTCCATATGGCAGGACTCACCTGTGACAGCCACCATCTAGACACGCCCTCAAGCAACCTGGGACACGAAGTAGACGGGAGGCGCCTCAGCCCACTGCTTTCCTAGTCTGTGGACGGTGAGAATGTTCTTCTCCCCTTCACCTTCAGAAAAAGTTCACTAATTATCATCTCATTAGAAGTGTGACAACTCCAACATTTGTATTAAAAGAAATGGTCATGTGTAGTAGGAGCTTTACTGATTGCACGTAATGCTTGGCCTTAGGGACTGGGGAGACAGAGAGATGAGAACCACAGGGAATGAGTTCCAAAGGAAAGAGGCCCAAAGACCCTCTGTAGCGGGACTGTCTGTTGATGATTCTAGCCCAAGGACCTGGGAACTGAAGCAGGAAGTGACAGGCACACTCAGAGGAGAGAGCTCTATTGTACCCTCACTGGGTGGCAAGGATTTTAAGGAAAGGGCTCCCTGGAGACAGAAGGTTGGGGGCAGAAACGGACACAGACAGCACTGTGACCCGGGAAGAGGCGAGGAGCCGGAGCGGGGCCAGTCATTGCTAAAGCAGCAAGAAGTGCTTCCTCCTTCCCCGCGCTCTGCGCTTCCTCTCCACATCCTTCCACACTTGTGTCTTCACCACAGTGTTTTCTCATACGTACTTTAATAATTACTTTCTTGATTGAACGATTTGCACCTCAGTCTGCCCTTATTTTTGGTGTATAAGCTGTGCAGAAAAAGGTTCTTGGTCCCCCCCAGACTGTGGCCTACCTGCATGTTCCCAAGCCTTGGTGCTGGGTCTGGTCAAGGCCTGGTACCACCTCCTACTTTCTCCAGGTGGGTGTCCAGCCCTCCAGTTTCCCTCGGTGGTTGAGTGCCCTCTCCCTGGCACTTAACCTTATCTGTCTAAGAGCTTACTTCTCTTCATTTTTATTCCATCCAGTACTGGAGACACACAGAGAAATCACCGGATCCTGTTGGGGAGAGAGGCCCAAAGGACCCTAGATCCTGTCTTTGCTAACCATCCTCCACCTTTGGTGAAAGCCTCTGTGTATGGCCAGGGCGTGGGGGTGGTCAGTGCCACTGGGGACCAGGAAACCATGGGCAGGAGAGTGAAAGGTTCTCTAGGTCTGCTCTAGAGACAAATTAACAGGTGCCCACAGGGAAACTTTACCCCATGGTCTCATTTTTTGAATCACTAAATCCAGTTTGCTTTAGACGTAAAGACAAATGCACTGATTAATTTGAATCTGCACACCAGCTTTTCAATTTGCAGGGAGGGCACAGCTGAAAAAAGTCAGAGATGGTTGCTCACTCCAGCCTTTGGAGCAGGACTCTTGGCATTCTAACTGGAAAAGAGCCCTTCTGTTTCTTGTGGTTTGTGTGCCACCCCTGGTCAGTCCCATGCCCCTCCACATACTCCAGATGCCACCTGCAGGCCGTTCTTCAGAATGCCCGATTCTCGAAGGCTTCTCTACTGTGTGAACTGGCATCCAGGGAAAGCCACAAGTGCCAAAAAATTAAAGACCCAGAATGGAGCCTCAACCAGGGAGGATGGCAGTTAGCCGGTCAATAGCCCCACTGTGTACCTCCTCTGGGAGTGGGGTGCGTCTCACACAGTCTCAGAGGGCCCCCTGCGGGATGGAACCCCAGTCCTCACAGTGGCAACCTGCTCACCATCGGTGCCTCCTTTACGGACTCTCCTCCCTTCCATGTTTCACTTCTCCACTCCCATCGCTGCGCTTCCTGAGATGACCAAATGCGTATTTGCACCCGGCCTTGGTTTCAGGATCCTCTTTGAGGGGAACCAACTTGATTGCTGTAACCAGGCCCATGCCGGGGTACCAATGACTGGCATTTAAATCATCTTTTGTCTGTTGCTTTCATTTAACTTCAGCTTTTATGCACCAAGCATCAGTCTTGTGTGGTAAAATGAGACAAATGGGTGGCCATCGATAGCTAGTGAATTCCTGCTCATTCTTTAAATAGCTCTTTCCAACTGTTCTGAGTCTTCCAGGAAGGACGGTGCTCTCCCTCCCCCTCTTTCCAGCACCCCTTTGCTCCGCACTCTCATGTAACAACCTTTCAAACAGATCTCGTAGCCTACAATACTAGGCACTTTTTTTTTCTGGAGTGGTAGGATCATTTTTTTTAACCTGTTCTTAGTTTTGTTTGTAATTTTTAAAAATATGTTTATATATGATATATAAAACATTACATATACACTAATTATGTATTTTATATATAACTTATATTTTTTGCATTATATTTTTAAGGTAAAAATTCCATTTTGGTACAACATCTATCTTGTCAGAATGGGATTAAATAGGTCTTGGGGAGTGAAATCGTAACTAGTTACTGTTTAGTGTTTCACTCTTCATGTGGGTCAGTTAAGAATCTTCCAAGTTGTGAGCAACAGAAGCGAACTCTGGCTCCTTAAACAAAAAAAGAGAACCCATGGGAGGAATACGGGAGAGCGTGTAGGACCGAAGGGCAGCCTTCGAAAAGCCAGAAGCAGGAAGCCTCTGAGAAGATCCCAGTGCTATAGAACTACATTCTCTTCTTACTCTGCATTTACTTCCAGTATCTTTTCAACCTAAGTTACTCCCCCATGAGTTATTTACGTAAACCTAGAACTGCTCCCCGCTAAAAGTGTCCTGACATGCAGAGAGAAATCAAAGAGTAGGTCTTTATCTATATGCTTCCACAAATGTTTCTCCAAAACACTTCCTCAGAAAAAGAACCAAAAAGCAGAACAGCAAATAGCAGCTCAGGCTGAGTTACCTGGTCTCTTGCTGACTCTCTAAGTGCCTGGGAGGACAGTGGAGGCTGAGGCTCCTCGGGACAGTAGGGGTCTTACCAGAAGGGACAGACATGCAGACCAGCAGAAGGCAAACCGGCTCTTGCTGAGAACCCCACAGTCTTCCGTGGTGTGTGCGCCCCCCACTGCAGAGCAATAAACCCAACTTGTTCAACCACGGGTGTCTTCCTGGTGATCTCTGGTTGAAGGTGCACTGACAGTAGATTTTAAAAGTTCTAAATCCTGACCAGAATCTGAAGGGAATATAATGAATTATGTTTCAGTTTTCATAATCACTTAGCACTTTCATGACCGCCTCCCTGTGATAAGGTTTGGCCTTTTGATCACAGGTGGATTACTTCATGTTCACACGTACAACAGCTAAGAGCAGGTGACTGTTACACAGGATTGGTGTGAACTGCTCTTCACTGTTTGGGGTGCAGATACGGTCACATCTCTTATTTCTCCAAATTAAGGCAAACCAGTTCAAGCCCTTAACATAGGACTAGCAGGAAGTACAGAATCATCCTCGTGGAGCTTCCTCCCTTCCTCTCTCTGGATCTTGAAAGAATCCTTGGCAATTATGCAGTTCAAAAGAATTTTAAATTCTAGTTTCCATGCGGCAGCAGGGGAGCCCTGGTATCATCTGACAGCCTTGGCTGCCGCCGCTGCTTCCCCGTGGCCATGCACAGATGCCGCATTCACCCAAGCAGACTAAGACAGGGAGCTAGGAGTCAGTGAGGGAAGGAGATTTTTAACTGTGTTTTTTTTTTGTACATTTTGGATTTGGCCATATATTCAAAAATAAAAATAAGTTATTAAAAATAGACTATTTGATGTTAAAAGAAATTTATTTCTCATAATTCTGGCGGCGGGGAAGTCCCAGATCAAGGTGCCTGCAGATCTGGTGTCTGGTGGAAGCCCAATTCCTGGTTCATACACGGCTACCTTCACCCTCTGTCCTCACGTGGGGAGCGGGTGAGAGAGCGACCTGAGGTCTCTTTTTTTTTAAGAGAATTCCACTCAAGAGGGCTCCACCCTCATGATCCCGCCACCTCCCAAAGTCCTCCACCTCCTAAAATCACCACTTTGGGGATTCGATTACACCATGTGACTTGGGGCGGGGAGGACACACAGTCTGCTGCACCTTCTGATGCCCTTTCCAAAAGATAGTTACCATTGGTTGTTTTCTGTCATCCAGAGACTTTTGTGCTTTTATAGGAAAATAGAGACATCCTTCCTTCTTTCTCTCTTTGTACACAAATGGTAGCATAATATATACACCGTTACACCTCGCATTTTTCAAATAACACATCAAGAGGTAAAAATAAAGAGCCTCTACTTTTTAAAATTATGGCTGCGTGTGCCACTATTTACTTAAGTAAAGCCTAATTATAGAATAATAATATTAATTTTCCAAGAGATAAGAGAAGCTTTGTCTTTAAAAAGTAAAAAATTACAGGGAGTGGGGCTTCTTCCACAGCAGACACAGGGTCGGTGTGACAAACCACGGGCCCAGAGTCTTCCTGTTAATTTAACTGAAACAATATTCTCTTAAATTATTTGTTAAATAATCTGACAGTCACTGGCTTTTATTTTTCCATCATGCCCAAAAAAGAGAATACAGCTGACCTAATCCTAATCTGACTCACAGAGCTTACGAAGATCTATGTTGAGAAGTCAAATGTCATTTTTGGCATTATTTCCAAGGCAACAAGTTGCCTATTGACAACAGACTGCAATTTCATGTTTTTCTTTAAAGGTTATTTTCTACTGGAGATGTAGAGACTTACTGCCTAAGCCCCACTCCCAAGCTTTTGACTTGCTGCCAGCTGCAGGGACCCGGCCAGCAGACAGGCCACAGTGACCACGTGTGGCAGGGCCAGGCCCCACCTCAGCTGCAGAGGGCAGCCCCGCCCAAGCGCCCAGCCCGGGGCAGCCGGCACGTGGTACCCAAGCAAGGCACGGATACACAGCACCTCAGCCAGCATGGGACTCTGACTCATTCCAGAGAACCCGACTTACTGTGTTGGCTAAGGTTTTGTTGGGTCTGCATTGCAATTCAACTGCGCAATCCGGCTTCCTTCCCTTTCCAATCCCTTTCCCATCCCTTTCCCATTCTATTCCTTGATAGATGTTGATCCTTTATACAAATCCTGCACCCTAATCTCCATCTCAGCTCTGCTCCCTGAGAGCCCAATATGCAATGCTTCTTATAGTGAGTGGTCTGAGAAAGCAGGTAGTAGGATAAGGTTTTAGAGATGGAAAACTCACCCAGGCAGCGGGCAATGAGGCACAGAGAGCCCTTGGCACAAAGTGGCAGTTCAGTTGTTAAAACTGTCCCCAGTGGTAAGCTGGGAATTGTCCTGGTGGAAGGGAATGCACCAGCAATTGCCATGGACCAGGTATGTGAGGTCTCTGGAGGAAACAGTGGACGGGAGGATAATGGAATTCAGTGACTCCAGTAAAGCACCACTGATGCTCTACAGAGAGACAATGAGCAGCTAAGGGAAACAAGCAATTGAAAACCAGAGAACTTCTTTGGCTGCCCGCATGGAAGGAGCTCTCATCTCCTGTGAAGTGGAATGCCAAGGAAAGCCAAGCACTAAGGCCAGGCCAAAGTCCAGGGGCGCAAACTTCAAAGAAAGCCTGAGGCCAAGGCCGATTTGGGAGACCTGGGAACCTAACAAATGAGGCATCTTGGCAGATTCCCCCCAAATTTTGACCCCCAATGCTTCTAAACCTTTTGAGCCTGCAAAAGTGGTCCACTCTTCTCTAGTAAGAGCTAGCACTCCTCCCCCGGTGGATCCAGATGGCATGGGGTGGACGATGGGGACATGGAGGTGTGCCCAAACCCCCGTCAGGAAAGGGCTCGACGGCCAGCGGCAGGGAGTGTGCTGCAGGCAGCCCCCGCTGTAGTTACCGCCTTGCCTTTCAGGGGGCTGCCCCGCCGCCCCTAAGGTCACACCCTTCCTGGAGCCCCCTGCACGTCCTGCAGGAATAAAGCAGGCTATTGTCTGAGCAGTGCTGCTCCAGAGCACCCCAGCGGGTCGGGCGAGGCTGTCAGGCGTTCACCTCAGTCTGAGCTCCCCCTCCGCCCAGTCCCACGTCCTCACTCTTCCTTTCACGACGGTTCCTGCCTAGTAATTGTCTTGCACCCCAAGCCCTGTCTCAGCCTCTGCTTCCAGGAAGCCCAGCCTGAGCCTCTTGCATGCCAGTGCAACAGTCTGTAAAATCTCTGGAGTCTTACAAGGCTCGTTTGTTCAAAAAACACTTCTAGGGACACATTTATTTTAACAAACAAGTTGGTAACATTAAAAAATATGCAGCAGGCTCCGTTTTGCACAGGAGAATAAGCTTGGTATTCCTGTGAATGTTCTTGGTTTAATACTTTATCAAATTGGATTTTGTGAGCTGGTCTATGATGCAAAGTGTCCTCTCTCCCTCCAGCTGTAAAGGAGAGGGACCATCTTCATTTATTTCTCATTATACCTTTAGGAATTATGAAGGCTTCCATTTTAAGGTCAGGCTTTGGAATTTCACTAGTTAGAAGCAAAATACAAACCTGCTAATTTTATTTGCTGAAATCAAGGAATGCGTCAACAGGATTTTACTCAATACTGGTGAAACATGGATCATACAACCGTTTATTCTGGTGTCACTGCCACTCGCTCATGTCATACATGTGGATTGCTTCGCTCACCAACACGGGTGTCCTGTAGGAGGATATGAACCCACAGGGATACATAACGATGTTCTGACGGGTACACTGGCGATTTAGTTTAAGGGAGTCAGCTCCCAGCGCCCAGCTTCCATACACACTTTTTCGTTATGTTGCACTGACTACAAACATGCCTGCTCTGTTTGAAGCTGGTTCACCTTTTCTACCTCCTTTTCCCTACTTACCCGTCTCCCAATTTACAAAAGAAAGGCATATCTCTCACCTATCCCAAATCATGATACATTGCCCTGGGGATAAAAAAAAAATCTGAGTGTACCAAAGAGACAAAGGAACTGTAAACCAGAGGCAAGTTTTTGTGTCTTTATCTTTTACTTACGGGTGTTAGGGGCAAAGCCAGGTATTAGCAAGGGATACGTTGGCCCATGTTGGCCAATCCTAGTATATTGTAGAGAAGTAGGGCAAATTTTATGACAATTTGTATTTAACCACACCTTATCTCACCTAGAGCAACAAACTTATCCACAGCTCTGTACCTGAAATACACATCTGCAGCTTGGGCTGTATAAGAATAGGCCAGAGTATGTTAAGGATTGAACAACTTCAAAATCCCAGCACCTTAAATCAACAACGTTTTGTTATTCATTCATATTGGACTAGGGTCAACTGATGGGGCTGAAGGCGGCCAGCTGCTGTGCCAGAGTGAGAGATCGGGAGCATCTCAAACCAGGAATTAAATGCTCACGGAGAAATGACACACAGCACTCTACTTCAACTCATTGGTCAGAATAGTTGCATAGCTCCACCCAACCCCAGTGAGGATGTAAAATTCTAAAGTAAACTAAGGCAAGAAGCTGGCAACACTGTGCATATAGCATAAATGTTATCACAGAGAGTATTTAACATATGTAAAAAGCATGCTGGGAAATATCCACTGACTTCAAAGAGCAGTCTTCCTGCATTTTCACCATCCTCAGTAAAAGGAAAGAGCTGATCTCATTCACCCACGACTCAGACTGTTCCTCAGTTAAATATTCTGCATGATTTCAAAAAGGAGTGGAAAGTTCTTTCACTTCTAACAGATCAACATTACATCTTCATGTAAAAGGAATGTATTGAACGTAAGTTGGTGTTTTACAGTTTCTTGATCAATTTAGAAGAAATTGTTTCATTAACTTTTACCAAGAAAAAAAAGTACTAGATATTGTAAATTCATATTCATATTTTTACTTGGTTTCAAATCTGCTTGCTGTCGCTCATGAATCATTCCTATTCCTGAGTTGTGATAGTAGATTCTATTGTAAACAGCTATTTAACAACTGTCATTAATACACTTACTTATAGCTCCACACTTACCTGGTGGAATTTGGCTCCTGGATGGACAGACCAAGGTGGTAGCTCTCGAACCCGACTGGGCGGAGGCGTTGTGCTCCGAGCGTATCTCGCAGAAGGCCGCTGGCGCCACCTTGTGGTCACCTGTGCACATTGCGACCCTAGTCACCGCCCCCGCCGGTGCGTGGGGTCACAGCATCGTGGAGGCCAGCAGCCGCACGCTTTCTGCAACTTCCCCCCAAA